GAATTATTTACACATCAATATTAAACAAATAAACTTTTACAAATCAATTTTTATAAATCAATTAAACAAGCAAAAAATGATAATAATTCTTATTTTCCTCATCAATTAAACAAATCAGACTTCTAAGAATCAATTAAACAATCAAAAAAAGTGTACCCCAGACAATTGTTTATGAACCCATATATCAATTTTACGCAGCTCACTTCAGGATTAACCTGCAGAAACCAAACATTTGCTCAAATAACACTTTCTACACATCTAAAACCAACAAAAATCAAATTATTATTGAATTCTAGGTACTTAACAACACTCTCATTTGACTTACAAATTGTTTATGAACACTTTCATAATGCGGATGCAGGTAGGCAGCGTCTCGCATATATCGCTCTAGCCATAAAATGCCGAAACCACAAGCCTACTGCACCTCTATCTCTATCGGTGAGAGGTAGAAACTGTGTACTTCCTATCGTCAAACGCTCCAAGCATATGCATACGAGAGGACCATAATCCCCTCTGGCTTCCGGTGTTTGTTGTGGCGCGGTCTCGTCTCTGATAACTGTAACATTGAACTTATTTGGCTTCTTGTTTCCAGAATAAGCCCAATAATTAATCGCATCCAATAATTTAGCCAAATGAGAGCTCCATCCCTTAATAATATCTCTCAAATCAGATAATGATATGTAATTTATCATGCTGTCATATACTATTGTCTTTAGGGATGAGAGATGAAGCTCGACGAGAAGCAATGAGTACGTTCCAAAACAGGAATAAACACATGCATCGAAATGTAATAATTCAAATTGCGCACTTATTTATGAACACCTTTAAAATATTTAAACAAATAAATACTAACCTTATCGACCTCCCACCATGCAGGATAAAGTTTAGCTTGTCCATTAGCCAACATATATGATTCCTGTTCGTTGATTCTTCAAGTGAACTACGTGAAAAGATGTCGGCATAATTGTATATCGCGTATTTTTTTCTTCAATTTCCTTATTATTAGAAGACGTGACACTCATGCATCAATATGCTGTTTTACAAAAAAAGACATATATTAGTGAATTACATAAATTTAAAAAAAATTAATCAAAATGAAATATAAGACTTACCCCCCATCGAAATAGCCATTGTCTTCAACCCCTAATAACATACCCCACCAAGACCGTTCAATCAACAAATGCATATCATCGTTGAGTTTGTATATGTCAGCGTAAAACCCTTGGCTCCGCTCATGTAGATAAAAATCAACTGCGGTCTTAGCCCAAAGGGTATTATCCAGATTTGTTTTCGGTAGTTGTTTCCTCTCCACTTCATCTGCCGGAATGGTACTGGCCGATAACTTATACGAAAGCCAACAGTCATCCATCATGTCTGGCACGTGAGGGGGTTTCTCAATAATTCGATATATTATGCCGTGTGAATCGGGATCTAGAATGTTGGGAGGGACCTCTTCAACGATTACAGTGGCCTCTTGAACGGTGGGAGGGGACTCTTGAGGGATGATAGGGGCCTCTTGAACGATAGGGGAGGCCTCTTGAACGATGGCATATGAGCTTTTTCTTACAGATTCTTCGCACTATTGGGGTGAATGGAGACGTAATGGCACGTGCACGCCGTCTGATGTGTGAACTCCGTTTTACAAGAAAAACCCGACGTAGAGCATCCACCTTAGCGGGCCTCTAAAAATAAATTAATACATAAATCAGTAAATAAACATATATGATATTAAACAGTGAAAACAAAGACAAATATATTTCAAACTTGCACGGTATTCACCCAAGTCATTATTCTATCATTGTTCACAAAATGCATCAGATAACATTCCAGAAGTAATCATTTATATAAGCATTTAAAAGGACAACATATAGGTTTAGTGCAGGTTCAATGACAACATAAAGAGTAGTAGTTTATTCTTGAAACTTAAATTTTCAACATTGTGAAGTTAGTATTTGTCTTTGTCTTTTGGTTGAAGTAATACAATTCATTCAAGTTTCAATTTGCAGAAGAAGAATAGAATATGAAACTTAAAATCGCAACACGAAAATGACTATCGCAGCGCGAATTTGACTATCACAACGAGAGAATCGCAATGTGATTTTCATTTCGCATTGCGATTATTTCGTTGCGATAGTAAAATTCGCGTTGCGATAGTTATTTTCGCGTTGCGAAAGTAAACTATTCTTCTTCTACAAATTGAAACTTGAATGGATTGCATTACTTCAACCAAAAGACAACCCAAAACAAATACTAACTTCACAGGGTTAAGGAATAAACAGTTTAACAGTATTGGCAGCAACCGAATGAATTTACTAAGCAATCCATTCAAGTTTCAATTTGCAGAAGAATATTAGTTTACTTTCGCAACACGAAAATGACTATCGCAACGCGGAAATGACTATCACAACGAGAGAATCGCAATGCAATTTTCATTTCGCATTGCGATTCTTTCGTTGCAATAGTCATTTTCACGTTGCGAAAGTAAACTATTCTTATTTTCGCGTTGCGAAAGTAAACTATTCTTCTTTCGTTGCAATAGTCATTTTCGCGTTGCGAAAGTAAATTTTCAAATTGAAAGAATAAACAGTTTAGCAGTATTGGCAGCAACCGAATGAATTTACTAAGCAATCTAAGTGAAATGGTTTATCTAAGTGAAATGGTTAATCTAAGTGAAATTACGAGTAAATTTATCATCAAGTTAAATATGAAAAATATTAAACTTACCTCGTTGCGTAGAGTATGAACCTCATTCTGCAACGATGCTTCCATCTCATGTAGAGCGGCTACCTCACCACGTAAAGTAGACACCTCAACACGCAATGCACCATTGTCATCGCGTAAGGTACCGACCTCCTCACGCAAGGCATTGACCTCATCACGTAACTCCCCTAACTCATCCCGTGGAGGTGGAGGTGGAGAACAGGGAGATAAACGTCGTGGCATCTTTGTCGGTCGCCTATCATGAGGTGACGGTGGAGAAGAGGCTCGATGATGTGACAGAATATGTGATGGCTTTCATTGTGGAGGTGTATAGTCGGGTCGATCAGGTGATGGCTCTCTGGGTGAGGTGATGGCTCTCGAAGTGGAGACTGCGCTCATCATCCATGCCATCAAAAAAACGCTTACTAGCTTTCCACCAATCAGTGGCAAGCTCAGCTTCCGCGGGTGTCAGCCTCTGTAATGGAGTGTTGGCCTCCTAACAATATAAAAGCTCAAACAAAGTTAAACTTGTACTAGTAATAACTTGTTTATAAACATATGGTAGTATTTGTGTTAACTTACATTATTTATTGTCGTATACAGTAGTAAATCTTCCCATTGCTGCAAGGTCCGTTTCCTCTTCCAGGAAATAACCCTAGGAATATCATTAGAAGTTTTTAATGCATATGTCTGCATGGCGGGAAAGGCCTCAAATATCCAAATCTACAAACAATATAATAACAAACATTAGTAATTGTTAAATAATTAATTATAATTTTGGAAACATTATATAAAAATTCTTACCTTAAAGGCCCAAATAAAGCCTGAAAAAGTGTATTTGGAACCATCGCCACACAAACTTTTTCGATCATCAAAGGCAGACGACAACTTATTCTATGTAGCTTTCCATAGATACGAACCCCACGGAAACAGGTTCCATGTATTTAGGTCCTCTACCAATTTAATTAGATCATTAGAAATAGGTTGTCTGGCCTCTCTGCCTAAAAAGTCGGCATGCAAAAGTATTAGAAGGCATACTCGGACAACATCGACGTCATCCATCCGAGTAAAACCATCTTTCTTATTCAATAATCTCGTCAAGTCTTCCACGTGTAAATTCGGCTTCTCCATTGACAGCTCAGGAAAAACTCGGGATAACCATGATAGGCGGGTAATATGTCTAGTGTACCGACCTACATCATCGTGTCCGAAGCGTAGACCGGTGATTAAGCAAAACTCCTCCCGCCCAAAACACGTATACGCCGGTGGAAAATCAAACCATATCTCTTCATCACGACGTTGTATAGTCTCTGGTAGATCGCTAGTCATGGTTTGAAGAAACATATGGGTCTACATAGCATCTCCACCCGGATGTTGTACTTTCAGCCATGGCTCGAAGCAAGTATCCTCAAATATTTTTCTTTGTGCAAGTGAAAGCTTCGACGCAATTGTTTTAGCCAGCTTACTTTATTTCTTAAGGTCAATTGAGCCGAATAAAAGTTCTACAAAAACAATAAACATACCAAGTTAGATATACCAAAAACTACACTGCAAAGATATACCAAGAACAATAAACATAAAGAGTAGTAGTTTATTCTTCAAACTTAAATTTGCAACACTGTGATTTTAGTATTTTTCTTTGTTTTTTTGTTGAAGTAATGCAATTCATTCAAGTTTCAATTTGCAGAAGAAGAATAGTTTCTGAAACTTAAAATCGCAACACGAAAATGAAAATCGCAACACGAAAATGAAAATCGCAACACGAAAATGACTATCGCAACGCGAATTTGACTATCGCAACGTGAAATGAAAATCGCAACGCGAAACTAAAATTGCATTGCGATTATGTCGTTGCGATTTTCATTTCGCGTTGCGATTCTCGGTTTCAAATACTAAAATTAAAACTTGAATGGATTGCATTACTTCAACCAAAAGACAAAACAAAGACAAATACTAAATTCACAGGGTTTAAAGACTAAACAGTTTAGCAGTATTGGCAGCAATCGAATGAATTTAATAAGCAATATAAATGAAATGGTTAATCTATTATTGAAATTACCAGTAAACTTATCATCAATTTCAATATGAAAAACCTAATAATAATGCAAAAATTTTAAAATAAAAATAATTAAAAAAACTATTCATCGGTGGTTGATTTGGTTGATTTTCCATTTCTGACTGTGAATGATTGTGAGGGTGGCTCTAAGAGATGGAGGTAGACGGATTTCGCCGGAGATGGAGACTGATTTCGTCGAAGATGGGGACGGATGTCGCCTTAGAGAGTGAGAGATGGAGATGAGACTGAGTTGTGATTTAGGGTTTTAGGTTATGAGTTGTGATTACGGGATATACTGTGGACGGTTCAGTGTTATGATATATTAATATTCATGTTTGGAATTTGAAAAAAATACGCGTTGCGATAATAATGGCGCTTTGAAAATCGCATTGCGATAGTCAGCATCGCGTTGAGATAGTCAGCATCGCGTTGCGATAGTCAGAATCTCGTTGCGATAGTCATAATCGCGTTGCGATAGTCATAATCGCATTGCGATTTACATATTCGCATTGCGATAGTCGGAAAATCGCAACACGAATTTAAAAAATCGCAATGCGATAGTCAGAATCGCATTGCGAATCTGGAAACTGATTTGCGATACCGGAGATCACGTTGCGAATTATCGATCGCATTGCGATTTAGTTGGTCATTTTGGCAAATCTAAAAAAATTGGTTAAAATCGTATATTATAAGGTATTTTCGGTCACTAAGGTTATTTTCTCTAATTTTTAATATAATAATAAATTTAATTTGATGCTTATATTTTTTTATCAATTTAATTTTTTAAAATAAATTTACCCGTTTTGGGAGTTATTTTCTTATGATAATTGAGTTTTGATCTGAAGTGAAAGGAGACAGGTTTCCGGCGGATCTGAATTGACCTGATATAGTAATATTAAAAATATTTTTATTTATTTTAAATTCGATTTTAAAAATTAATTGAAAATCTAGCCAAACAAAGTCTAAAATAATTTTAAATTTATCATATCTTTTTTAAAATAAAAAATTAATTGAATTAACTATTAATTTAGTAACATAAAATTAAAATAAATTGTGATTTAATTCCTTACATACTAATTTTTTACATATATATTTTTATCAAAATTTAACGAATAGTCTATAGATACAGATACAAAAAAAAAAAATTTAGTAATTATTTAGGGACAAGACAGATTCTCCCGACTCAAACTTGATCAAGCTTAATAAAATATTACATTAAATTACACATTTACTAACTCAATTATCACTTTTATTCCATTTTGGTCACCTAAATATTCTTTGTTTTAAATTCATACTTAAACTTACATTTTAGTTTCATTTTGATCATCTACCATTATCAAATTAACAGTGATACTTACATGTCATCGTAAGATTATATCACATCATCAATAAAAAATTTAAAAAATATCACGCTAACAATTTTATATGGAAAATGAAACTAAAACGTAATGTTATGTATAATTTTAAAATAAAAAATAATTAAGTGACTGAAACAAAATAAAAATAATAGTTAAGGTACTAACCGTGTAATTAAAAAAAACTAAACTTAAAATCCAAATTTCATATTAAAAAAGTCAAGTGTGGATCAAAACCCATTGGCCACACGTTTTCTTTGCGATGCCTAGTTTTGATTGCTAACTTTGCCATCTAACAGAAGCATGAGAATGAAGTAGAAATGACCTTGCAACATGGAGATGACCTTGAATGTTTACAAATGGGATAGGAATATCTTTTCTTTTGTACATCTTAGCATGTGGAGCCACATCGTTTGCACCAGTAACAGGGAGCAACTGCCCCCGGTAGAAAAACAACACCTCTTAGATGCACATTGGTATCAGATACCTTAACATTAAGAAGATACCTGGCATCAAATGATCCTTCTACGACACCAGAAACCATCTAACCTAAAATGTCAGTAGAGGTGGGGTTACCTATCCACATACTTTGTTTGTTTCTGTTCAGATTCAGTTTTGGGTGTCACAGGTGTGTTGCCACCTTGAACACTCTCGTCCTCATATGGACGCCCACGCTTCAGTTTCGCACGGGGTCTGCAGAGGAAGATAAGCTAGCTCCTTGATTCCTGAAGCTCATCCTGCAAAGATGGATGAACAACTCATATTGTCGTTTCATAACTCCTTTTGCAATAGTTTACATGCAATTAGAAAAGAATTAGAACTATGAAGTCTGATCATCAATAACCACACAAGAACTGAGTGCATTAGAAAAACGGTATAAATCCATAGTTGATCAAGATACTACTTTTTCTATACTAGTTAACCATATTTCACACTAATCAAAGTATAACAAACTATATCAAGAACATAATACAGCCATTGATGCAATAGGCAAGTGTTCTTGGAGTAGACTCGGTTCTGATCTAAAAAATTCTGATATCGATATGTTCTCAATGCCATATAGAAATTATAGTTGTGTTTGAATTTTCATAAGTGCTCAATACTAGAAATGGGCTATTCAATGAAAGAGCTATCGATGATGAACTAAGACATGCATGCCGCAAAGATCATCTATGTAATGGTTAGATTCAAGAACAAGCCCGATGGATATACATCCGATTATGACATGTCTCGTCATCTTGATATCTTCACATCAAAGGTTCTCAAATATTTGGTCAGCTAAGCAGACAATACACATTCATGATAGATGCTGCTAACGCTTCCAAGTTTCTCTTGCTACAAACAAATTATTTCGGAAGGAAAGCTCGTAAAACAAGAGCATGGACCCTTCTTCCCATCACTAATAGAGCAAACACGAAACCCCGAAAAACACCGAAACCAATCTACAAAATATGGGGAAAATCACAAATAATAACCAAGGATAAATCAGACAGCTCTAAAGGTCGTGCATGTAAAACAGTGCACACCAGCTTCTACGTTTTAAGCGGGCAGCCTTCCCATTTACAACAAGACCACATTATCTTGGAATAAAAGTAGCCCAAATATGGAGAAAATTTGGGGCTAAAGCATATAACATCAGGCATTTAAAAAACCCTAGAATTCTAAAGTAAAAAATGGTGCAATGGATACAAATATTAAAGAAAATGGCGTCCTGTTTTAACAATCCAAAGAGGTTGACGGATCTGATGCTTTCAGCTAAGTTATGAACTAACCCAAAATCCCATATATGAATCTCTTACTCAACCAATAATCATTAAAAAAAAAACCTAATCAGTTATGCTTATTTCACAAATTTTTTATCAGCAAAAACTGTTAACGCAATGGTTTATTTTAAAGAAAAGGTACAGTTTTTACATTGGAGGACAGAAAAGGAAAAGAAAAAAGGATAAGGTACCTTTGACTTGTAGGAGATTCCGAATTACCTGAGAGAAAAAATGGTGATGAGGAATAAATGAAACCCAGAATTTACTGATTCCATTTATTATTTTCTACCAAGATTTTGTTTGGTTCGTGGATAGTGTAATCTGCGTGGAACACGACCAAACGAAGAATGGGCCTGAAATGGGCTAATTGATAAGCTGAAAACATAAAAAATTAATACACACCTGGTGGGACTCGAACCCACAATCGTCTGATTAGAAGTCAGACACCTTATCCATTAGGCCACAGGTGCTTTGTTGTTTACTATGAGTTAGTATAATTTTTTTTCATATTATACATATAAAAGTGATCAAAATCCTACTCAACTATAAAAAATCTAAATTCGAATTAAACTATATAGAGTCTGAATAACTTAACTTTTTTATTAATTAATGAATTTATTTTTAAATTTGAGTAGAATAATTTAACTCTGAGTGATATTATATATTATATAAAAGAAAATACGAAGGAATATACATATATATATCTTACATTATTATAGAAAATCGTTTAAATTAGAATTAAATAATACCATAAGATTATAAATATTTATAAATTAAATTTAAATAAATACTTGAACAACTAGACTTAAAAAATTTTTTGAATAAAATTTGAATTATAAAATAAGATTCATTAACTCAAATAATTTAAAGTTTTCTCAACTTGATTCGATCAAATATTAGTGAGTTGTTTCCAATAATATTTTGAACCAACTCATGAATTGAAGCTCACAGGTCATGTTGGATAATACCTAGGGAGTGTAAATCCGGGTACCCGGAACATCAGGGTCAGTGATTTCTCGGCCCATGTCCCGACCCAGATATTCTGGGTACCCGGATTTTGTGGGTACCCGAATACCCGGATTTTTTTTCCAAATTATTAAATAAAACAAAAACAAAAACACAAAATTATTAAACCATCCAAGCACATAAAAATAAACTCAACAGACCTTCAAATTCATAATTTTAATGAATGCAGTCAATCAAACATGCTTTACTTCAAATCACTGATGATTTCTTAGAAGATTGGAGTAAAACAAAAACAAATCGACGTTGAGATTATGAAAATATTAAGGAAGTGAATAAATTACACTCAATATCGCTTCAGGAGAGAAACTGCTTTGTAAGATTTTTCGTTGATGTAAGAAAATGAAAGAATGTTACTAAACGAATCAAATTCATCGGGTAACCAAGGAAATATGATGTTAAGGTGCACTAGAAGTTGAAGATCTGAATTTAATATCCATTACATGATGTTAAAATTTCCCAATTACACAAACCACATAATTCCAACATAGCAAGAAAAAAAACTAATTTACCGCGCTGCAGATGAACAATATCAGACCAGGAGTACAAGAAAGTTTTAGAAGACAACCAAAGTTCAAACTTAGGTTGACTAAATAAACTACAACGGATTTTTGCTATTCAACTCATTCTCTTCATTCTTCTCAATAATGGTCAATATTGTTTTAGAAATAACTTGGAATCCAAAATCTTTTAGAAACTTCAGATCCTTCGGAAGTATTTAAATTCAGTCATGCAAATAAACATGAAAAAACAGATCCGGGTAACCTGCATCGTAGCCATTTTTAGTTAATATATAAAAAAAACTTAACCGGGTATTCGAGTAACCGGATACCCGGAAAATGAAAATTTTTGACCCGGGCCCGACCCGGAAAGTGTCGGGTCAACCGGGTCGGGTAATTTTGCACACCCCTAATAATACATGATAATGTTAAGTTGTTTGAGTTTTTGTGGAACTTCCCAGCTTGTTGATCATATAAATTAATTTACTAGTTATATTTAATGATATTTATTTTAAATTATATTTTTCAACTAATAATTGATCATATTCGACACTTTCCGACACTTGAGCCCTCCCTAGAGGATGTCTGTACTTCCAGGAACGAGCAGAAAATCTTATGTTAAGAAGATATATTTCTAAAATTCTAAGAAGATATATTTCTAAAATTCTAAGAAGAAAACATATTATCAATTTAGAAAAACAAAGAAAATAACTAAAATATATACTAATTTGAAATTATTAGGAGACTACTACCCACCCCTTAGTCCGTCCCTACACTATGACATCGTGCCTACGTCTTATGATCTAAGCAACAAAGATAACTGAAACGAAGCTTGTTGAATCAATCCGACATGTCTACATGCCATAGCTCTCAAGGAGTGGAGTAAAATTCTCATAAAATCTCTAATCAAAAGTTACATGGTATGATCAATTACTTGTATAGATACAAGTTTCTTTTTACAAAATATTATTACAGACAACATGCAAGAATCGTCAATTAATATGATCAGATACATGAACTTGAGTCGGTATACCTGGTTGAGCATCGCCACTGATTAAACTTTCCAGTAACAGGGGATCGTGACCGTATCACTGTAAAACTTGGTTAGAGAAGACTGATATTATATCATTCAGTTATGGATAAAGATTGAATCGGCCTCGAAAAACTAGAACTGTAAGAGCATCATTATGGTCATCGAAGAAGCAATGAGAAGATAAACCGCGGCGTATTTATTGTAAAGACCTGCATAAGAGAGAACGGCTATTGAGCGAGAGAGAGGCAAAGACCATAATTAAAGTTTGATGAGTTTGAGTTTTAACTTTATTCAAAGATTATTCTGTCAACCCTACGTTCGACCAACATGGCTTAGCGACTCAATATCAATTAAACAATTAGAGTCTGCTCGTCTCAAAGCGATTACAGTTATTTGAGTAAATCAGTGCATTTGTTGCTGCAGGTAGTGCAGGGATTCTTACAGCAGCATGCCAAAAATCCAGGTGAAATAAATAATCGTGACAAGAAAGAAAGAAGTATCACAGTAATATGAAATCGGTTTATAATACGGACTACCATTTGAGAGTACATACTTTTATTGCATGATGAAGCTGGCAAAAGTGATGGATTTGGCCACGGAGCTGGAATATTATCATTCAGATCACAAATGAAACTGATTCCAGAGAACTTGTCGAATGTTGCATCAGAGGGCAAGCTTGGAAGGAGGCATCCAGATACTAAAAGCAGATGAACAAAAAATACATGTTAGAAAATCTAGGTGTCGCAACCGTCTTTCGGTTGGGCCCCGGAATTGGGCTTCGACTTAAAAAATGTGGATTGGAGTCGCCACCGATCATTTATTTAAGAATAAATAGGTTGATCGGATACCTTATTTCTTACCTGATCTGCGTCTTTCCAAAGATGTGTCGGGTTCGGGAGTCGGTTACAGTCAAGGAAGGATTAGCACCCTTGAACTGCCCTTTCGGTACTACGTAATTTCCAGTTGTCTTTGATTAAGAAAATTATAAGTTTAAATTAAAAGATAAAATAATGATCCAAAATTACTTACCTTTGACGGATTTACAAATATACCTTTTAAAAGTCAAAATATGGGTTAGAAGAGATGAATAAATGATAAATAACGTAAAACAAATAAAATAAGGAGATTAAGAAAGAAATAAAGTAAATATAAAATGAATAGAATATATAAAATAAAAAATACAATAACACTAATATATACATAGCAAACAACTAAATAAAAATAAAATGATAATGCAAATAAATAAATAAAACAAGTAAAAGAATATAAAAACATAAAATATAGGATAAAGATAAAAAGAAAATAGATAAATAAATGAGTAAAATATATAAAAAAGTAAAAGCATATATATATAAGTAAAATAATAATAATAAAAAAAAATCAAAAGTAATATATATATTTATACATGTAAAATAGGAAATATATAAATATATATATATATATAATAACACTAAAAAAAACATATATACATATATAATAAAATTAATAGAAGTAACATGCATATATAACAAGAATAATAAAGTAGGAAAAAAATGATTTAGGGGGTGAATTAAATATTTAAAAAAAATGAACACGTCTCGGGGGTAGATCTAGGTTCGAAACTTCGAAACCCCACCCCTTTTTGGTTATATGTGCAACCCACGTTTTGGGTTATTCGAACCAAATCTCAAGAAAAATAACGTGCACATGCGAGAAATGAACGAACCAATGTAAAAAAGATGCTACCTTTTATTTCCTTTTCGAATCGTTAACAATAGCTTTGTCTTTGTATTTTCCGTGCTTTCCTCTGTGTTTTGTGTGTAAATCGTGTGTTACAATAATGAGTTACAATGGCTATTTATAGTGCTTGTGGATCCTATCTTGAGGAGTTTAAATCATAGTAGAACTCTATCCTATTTTTAGGAGTTTAAATCCTAGCAAAATTTTATCATATTTTTAGGAGTTTGAATCCTAGTAGGACGAAAATGTGTGTTGACAGCTGCCCCTCTTTGCCCATAGTCGTGTAACGGGGATAGGGCGAAGATTAAAAGACACATTTTTCGTTCGGTGGAGTTGAAAATTGACTCTTATATTTCAATAACTCCCCGTCGAATTGAGTTACGGATGACTCCTTCGTCGTGAAGCCGAGTTCATCTTGAAATGATATGAAATTGAAACCGTAGTTCGAAATTTGAATCAGCACGTGGCTTCTCGTTGCCATTCGGTCTTCTTCTCGGTTTAAAGACCTTCGATCGGAATCGAACTAACAAATCTTCATTGACAGATAGCTTTTGCTTGAAAATGGTTGCTTGTCACTAAAGCACGGTTAACCCAGGTCCTCTTCTCGACTTGAAAACCTTGACTGCAACCGGAAAGTAGTGTGATTGATGTGTCATCGAGCTGAATGGAATCGAACTCGACAATTTTGATGGCAGATAACCCTTCTAGCCTTGAGTTATGCTGTAAATGATGTGCCTTGGAGCTGAGCGTAGTCGAACTCGAAGGTCTTTGTTGACAAATACTCCTTCTTTGAGTTGGATATCCTTCATCGTGAAGTTGAAATCCAATCTAAAGATGGAAGATGCTTGTATGCACGATTCCCTTCGTCGTGAAGTTGAAACCGCGGGTGGCCCTCTCGTCATGAAGTTGAGCCTGAAATTGGATATCCTTCATCGTGAAGTTGAAATCCATGTAAGTAGCATTGTTCTGAGTCCAATATCCTCCGTCATGAAGTTGAAATTGGCTCTGGAACCTGGAAATTATTTGTTGACAACCAGCCGTCCCTTCGTTGTGAAGTTGAACTTGTGTTGTCTCGAGTTCAATATCCTTCGCTGTGAAGTTGAAATTGACTCTGAATGAAATTTTGTTGATAATCAGCCGCCCCTTCGTCGTGAAGTTGAGCTTGTGTTGCCTTGGGTTCAAGATCCTTCGTTGAGAAGTTAAAATTGGCTCTGAAATTGGGAAGTTGTTTATTGACAACCAGCGGTCACTTCGTCGTGAAGTTGAACTTGCGTTGTCTTGAGTCCAATATCCTACGCTGTGAAGTTGAAATTGGCTCTGAAATTGGAAAATTATTTGTTGACAACCAGCGGTCCCTTCATCGTGAAGTTGAACTTGCGTTTTCTGGAGTCCAATATCCTTCATTGTGAAGTTGAAATTGGCTCTGAAATTGAGAAGTTGTTTGTTGACAACCAGCGGTCCCTTCGTCGTGAAGTTGAACTTGCGTTGTCTGGAGTCCAAAATCCTTCGTTGTGAAGTTGAAATTGGCTCTGAAATTGAGAAATTGTTTGTTGACAACCAGCGATCCCTTCATTGTGAAGTTGAACTTGCGTTGTCTGGAGTCCAATATCCTTCGCTGTGAAGTTGAAATTGGCTCTGAAATTGGGAAGTTGTTTATTGACAACCAGCGGTCCCTTCGTCGTGAAGTTGAACTTGCGTTGTCTGGAGTCCAATATCCTTCGTTGTGAAGTTGAAATTGGCTCTGAAATTGAGAAGTTGTTTGTTGACAACCAGCGGTCCCTTCGTCGTGAAGTTGAACTTGCGTTGTCTGGAGTCCAATATCCTTCGCTGTGAAGTTGAAATTGGCTCTGAAATTCGAAAGTTGTTTATTGACAACCAGCGGTCCCTTCGTCGTGAAGTTGAACTTGTGTTGTCTGGAGTCCAATATCCTTTGTTGTGAAGTTGAAATTGGATCTAAAATTGGGAAATTGTTTATTGACAACCAACGGTCCATTCGTTGTGAAGTTGAACTTGCGTTGTCTGGAGTCCAATATCTTTCGCTGTGAAGTTGAAATTGGCTCCGAAATTGGAAAATTGTTGTTGACAACCAGTCGTCCCTTCGTTGTGAAGTTGAACTTGTGTTGTCTTGAGTGGCACGATATCCTCCGTCGTGGATTTGAAATCGTGGATGTTTGGCTTCGAGCTAGATATCCTTCGTTGTGAAGTTGAAATCTACTCTCGAGCAAATTGTGAGTTCGAGAGAAACTTTCAATCTGTCGAGTTGGTCGAAGTGTAGCTTCTTACTGCTGAGTTAAGCAACAAACATGAATCTTTAAAGGTGCTTTTGAATCGAGTATCATTCGTCTTGAAGTCGAAACTTGACTCTAAAAGCTGCAAAAAATTATGTATGTGGAAAATGATAAATATGATGCTCTAAAATGTATGCATAAGATGCATGTAACATGAATTGGTTATATTTTATCTCCTGAAAAAGGTCTGATAATTTGCATTAGGATGTTGAATCCCCAAATGATGCCCCAATATCCAAAATACCCAAATATTTGATATTGAATCTTCAAAGATGCCCCAAATGTTCCTCATTTCTTGCTTCAGCATTGATTCTGAGCATGAGTTTTGTGTCTAAAAGTCACATGTCATTTACCAAGATTCACTCTAGAGAGACTGTCTTGTTTGAAAAAAATGTTTTTCTTTCTCTTTTATTTTCAAAGTTATGAAAATATCAATTAAAAGAGTTTTGAAAAATGTTTGATCCAAAGTTTTGAAAATATTGTCACTTTCACGGTTTTACAATTGAGACGAATCATAAACTAGAGTTCTTCGGATATCAAGGAATTAATTATACTGTTAATCCTTCATTGAATTATAGCTATTTGACAAGTGCCAAGATCAAAGCTATTTTTGGGAAGTGGTTAAGTAAGGAAAGGATAAAAAAGTCTCAGGTTATTGTGTTTGGTCAAAGGTTTGGCATTTGATGCTCAAAGGTTTGATGGGGTATCTTACATGCTCCTCTACTAGAAGTGTTCTCTGACTCCCAACCTTAGTGGTCACACTTGGATTGTGCGATGCCGTATCAAGGAACTTGTGTGATCGCCTCAATTGCACAATTTTTATATTCGAGCCGTCTTTTCAGGTTTTTAACTCGAACCCTCCTTTGGTTTCAAGACGTTATTCAGGATTTACGTCTTGAACCCCCCTTTGTTATTTTTCTATACCATGCATTAATTACATTGTTTTTTTGCAAACAAAGATTAATCTTGATGGGCGG